AAGGAGGGTGCTAGTCTGCATGAACTCTTGGCCGGCCCAGATAAAATGGTGGACGTATGTTGCAAGTATGGTGTTTTTTCTATTTTACATCGTGGCCATCACAAATCCATGCCCACTCCCCCGCCCCAAACAATTCAGGCAAATGGAAAATGCAGCGCATTTTTTATGTCTTGCTCCCTTTTTCTTCAATGCTCATGACTCATTTTATTTGCATACAGCAGCCTTCCCAGCTTGGCATCTTTCTGATGAGTAGGACTACAACTCCCATTATCCCGGTCAGTGTGGAGCAGCATACCCAAATATGCAAGCTTGGGAACGATCGAGCTGGTGTTCTGATGGATCTGGAAGACACCAGCTTGGGGTCGTGAGCTGGGCAGGTAAGACCCAGTTGCGAAAACAGGATAAAGCACTGATAAAACTGAGCTGCATCACTCCCAAAGGGACGGGTGTCCCTTAAAAATAAAGACAGTCCTATTTAGAAGCCCTCTTTTCCGGGCATGTTCACTGGAATGTTTATATTATCTCCTGATTTTCTGCTTTTTGTGTAAAAATGGAAAGAGCAACCAGAAAGAAATGGAAACTCTCTGTGTGAGTCTATGCCACGGATGCCCCGCAGCCTTTGTCAAGCAGGGCTTCCAGATGTGCTAGACTACAACTCCCAGTATCCCTATTGCTGGCTGGGAGTGCTGGGAGTTGGAGCCCATCACACCTGGAGGACCCCTGGTTGGAACGGGCCCTTTTGATCACCTCCTCTTCTACGGACTGTTCTGCCAGGTCTTGCAATGGAAGCAAAAGGACGGGGGTGCCTGTTGGGTCTCTGTATGAGTCGCTGCTCTGGGTGGCCTCCATACAAAAAAGAGGCATGCCCATCCAGGAAATTGCTGTGGGAAGTCTCACTGTTAGCTTTGTTGAACGCTGGGCAGGCCACCTCTTGGTCACACAGCGTGGGCATTGGCCCTTTCGGGAGAACTGCTCCATCGCAGGGTGCGGACGGAGTAGGCGGAGGTTGCGCTCCTCTGCTGTGCAGCTTCCCCATGAAGCAGTTTGCTGAAGCAGAACAAAAATGCTTGGGAATGCAGTTAATAAGTGAAGGCCAGCGAGGGCGTTGGAGGTCAGGGGGGAGGGAGGATGGGAAAGGGTGCCTTGAGCATGCCAAGAGGAGCCCTAAGTAGGACACCGGAGCAGGAATAACTCGGTGCTGGTCACAGCCGGAGAACAAGATGGCTCCATGCTGACGAGAGAAGAAGAGCCTGCGAGAAACGAAGCACAAAAGTGAATTACGGAACCAAAGAGAGCAGGAAGCCACGAAAACCGATCTTCACGTCTCATGTTCTCAGAAAACTCAAAGGTGGCGTCAAGTTTGCAACAGCAGCAGCAAGAAGGGAAGCACCACCGTCTCTAAAAATGGAAGAGAAAATGTTCTCCGAAGGCCCAGCCCATTCTGGAACGGCACTTCCTTCTGCCGTCTTTCTCCATATATGACTTGCAAAAACTCGCTCGCACTTCCATGTTTCAAGCGACTCAAGTGGCCGTTTTCTCTTCCGTTTTTGGGTTTCAGGTTTAAGGCAACCTGCTAATCACATGGCTGCTCAGAAATATGGGTTTCTAAGACGTGCTCTTGCACCGACACGGGCTCTTCCTGTGTTTGGGTGTAACTGCTATCATTGTTTTGGGTAGCATCGAAAGGCACGGCCGATCCTTCGGCAGGCCCACGTTTCCACCAGCACCACAGCATCTTGCCCCTGTTGGAATGCAAGATATTGAGAAGGGATGTGGTCTTGAAGGCACAATTAAGACCCCCTCATTTTGCAGGAGACCAATTCCTGGCAGGGATGAAAATGCCAAGCACTGGCTAGTAAAGCAACGCATTTTTGGATGGTCCATCGAGATGGATGCCTGCACTTCACCCCTTCCACAACAAACGGCCACTTGATGATGTGTCTGAACCACCTCAGAGCTTGAAACGAACCTTGTTTTTCTCCGGTGTCTGTGCTCGTGCGCCTACAGGGCCCAACGGCCTTCTTATTTACGGCACCTTCGCAGCCTGGTCGCCAGGAGTGGGCGTCCACGCCCCAGGTGACCAGGAAGAGGTTTGCAACCTGTGACTTCCAGCTCAGGGACCAGCGTTTGTAGGGCTGCTCGGGCTGCTCACTGAACCCGTTGAAGCGGAATTGCCGTCTGGCACTCGGGACGTCCCCACTCGCCGCCTTAACTCACGATTGCAGCAGGAGAACTTTTCTCTGCCGCTGCTTCAAGCCCCCTAGACCACTCCTGCCGCACTTCGGCGTTCCGCTTTCTTTTCGCAACATGAGAGCAGTGAGTTTGGCTAAGGCTGTCCCAGGTTCCTGGCAGATGGACCTGCAAAAGTCCCCTCTGACTGCACGCTGGCCGTCCTTCCCTGCACTGCAGCCAAAATGTTGGGGGAGCATGTCAGACGGAAGAAATATGTCGGGTGTTCTGAGCAAGGAAAGCTCACTCAGGACTTCCCTCACTGCAGAGAGTTGCAGTCTCTTGGCCAAAATGGGCCTTGGTCCAAGAAGGGACACGGTGGGGGGAAAGAAGAGCAAAAGGTGCTAACCAAATGTTCAAAGGGGGACCAGCCCAGATCCCAAAGTGATACTGGATTTGCAGTGTTCTAAAGGCTTAATTTCAGAAGGAAAACATCACCCTAGCTTCCCCTCCTACTGTCCTTTAATTCAAGCTAGCAAAACCTTTCCTGCTCAGTTTTCTCTTGCCCCAGTTGAAACAGCTTCTTGCAAGTCTCCGAGTTAAACTGCATTCTCCTTGGGGCAGAGATCTTTCTTTGCCATAGCGAAAAGGCACGGGGCTCTTTCATTTGGGAGCAGGTGGAATGACTGAAATTAATCTTGGCATGATGCTAAACTCATCATTTCAGGGTCCCGTCACTAACACAACCCCGGACAAAATGTTTCCTGATCCACCAATTTATTAAGGATTTAATGCATGTTTGGCAGAAACATGTGCCTGAGCCAAACCAAAAGAACTTCCGTTTTCACTAAACGATTCCAGGAAGGCACACCGCACACCAGCTCCGGCAGCTCACGGAGGCAGCCTGCAGTCCCTTCTCTGAATCCTGGGAAGTTCAGAAGCAGGGACCAACCCAAACACGGATTGCAACAGAAAGAAAAACAAAGAAAGGTGTGGAACTCATGCCAGGCCAAACCGCCCCCTCCCTCTCTAGTCATACAGCTTTCACAACGCAACTGTCTGGAAAAACAAAGGACACCGTCACTTCTGCTCTGCCGGGAAGGTGCAAGGGACAATGCTCCTAAGCACTGCATGGAAGGGAACGGGGAATCGGAGTCGAAGGCCATCACCCACCACAGTTAAAGGCCTGAGAATCACTATCTGGACGTGCCTTTAAGGAGAAGGAGCACAGCTCAGTGGTGGGGGACATATTGTATATGCAAAGGGTCCCAGGGTCAATTCCTGGCAACTTCAGGCCGAGCCGGGAAAGCCACTGCCAATCAGTTAAGACAGGACAGAAGCTGGACCAAGCATCTTTGCCTGGGGTTCAGACAACACGGTGACCCACGCTTGGGGGTCGAGTACGGATTGAGTGCAAGGTTGCTGCTGGAACGTGGGTTACCTTGTTGTCTGTATCTGGCTGAGATGCCCAACCTTGGGGCGCAATGCATGGTTCACAACTCAGGGGTTCTCTTGGCTCGTGATCAGGGCTGGGTTTGGACAACTCACAGTTCAACCCATGCTCAGCCCTCGAGTGCCAATAATCGTATTGCGGAAACCAGTCCGCGTGTGCAAGACAACGCCTCTGTTCGTGCGATGGCCACGTCTGCTGTCTAATGCCAGGTGTGCACAAGCCAAGCTAGTTATCTCAATGCTGAGAAAAGTGTACTCTGCACATGGCCAAAGACTCCCTCTCCTTCACATTAGGACTACGACCTTTCCAACATACATTTGCTCTTCCTAGCTGAGATTTAACCCCTTCAAACCTCTGCATCCCTGCCTTTATTCTTTTTAGATTTGTTGTTATTTTCCCCTGACCAGAAATAAATACACAAAGTTTCCTGCATTCCATTAAACTCTTCACCACATTTGTCACCAAATCCACTTGTTCCCTACGAAAATAGAAATGCTGAAGGCGACACAGAAGGGGGCCTTTTGCAGTCTGTCCTCCCCTGCTTCCTGGCCTACCCTCCCATCCAAGGTGGGGTGTGCATGTGTGTGTGTGTGTGTGGGGGGGGGTTGATACTGCAGAGCAGGTGAGAAAAACCACGGAAGAGAAAAGCCCCCTTTCCCACTTCCAGAGGCTCCCCCGGCCGTCCCAGGCCGCCTCCTCTCCCTTCTTCCACTCAGCGGCGGTCCTGCCCAGCTCCATTCCTACGGGATAACGGGGTGTTGCTTTTGCACCCCTGCCCCGTTCTAAGGCATGGGTGCCCAGGCAGGCACCCCCTTCTCCACCCCCGGGCTAAATCCGAGTTGCGAGGGGCTCGGGGCGCATGGCTGGGCGAACATTTGGGGGAAGGAGCCAGGAGAGGCCGCCCGCCCGCCCGCGGATCGCCTCCCACCTCTGCCATGCTGCTCGGCCGGATGAACTATTTGCAAAACAGCGCATTGCTACAGACCCTGCCCCCCCCCCGCCCCGCTTCAGCATCTCTTCCCCACAGAAAGGAGGGCGGAAGCCGCCGGGGGGAGCCGGCAGCCCCTTCTCTGGGTTGCGGGAGAAGCAGCCCCGTTTCTAACCCTTTCCAATGCATAACCCGAAGGGCTGCGATCCTGGGGCGAGGGAAGACCTGCCCCTCGCAGGGACGAGCCCCGGCCTGGCCCCCCGGCGTCCAGTTGGAAGAGGAAGCGAGAGCTCCTGAGCTGGTGCAGAGTGCGTTTCCACACAGGAGAGGGGCTGGGGAGGGGCGCGGGCCGCGGCCGGGCCGCAGCCGCGCGGCGGGCGGGCGGCCCCCGCCCTCGGCCCATGCTCAGAGGCACGGCTCGCCCGCGCGCGCGCTCGCGCGCTCACTCACTCGCGGAAGAGGCGCTCCATGTCCTTGATCTGCCGCCGGGAGAACTCGCGGAACTCGGCGTAGGGGCTGAAGACGCGGCGGGCGCCGCCCGGGGAGTGCTGCGGGGACGCCGCCGGGTCGTTGAGCTCGGAGCGGCGCTGCAGCTTGGCGCTCAGCTCGCCATCGGCGCCGCTGTCCAGGGCCGGCGGCGGCGCCTCCTCGGCGGGCGGCGCCTCCTCGGCGGCGGCGTCCGGCGGCCCGCCGCGCTCCTCCACCTGCAGGCGGCGGCT